TAACACAAAATAATGGAAAACAGTGCAGAATTTCAGAGAATTTATGCAGTAATACAACAGTTTTTATCAAATATGTAGGAAAATCAGTGAGAAAAATACTTGAAATTCAATAGTTGAAGAAAAAGAACAACCCAATACAATGAATCTTCAATTCGAAAGGAAGATTCAACTCTCCAATTCTCTAGCCAATGTTTAGAGCCCAAAGCCAACACCAAGATCTCAAATTCAGATTACAAAATTCCATATCACCTTAACCCTAGCAAGGAAAGACTAATTAAAGCAAAAAGGACAATTACTTAATCCCTAAAAATCTCTAATTTGAATTTTCCCTCCAACCCAAACTTAATTAGTATGTGGGCCCCATGTCATTAGCCGGCCCCTCTCTCTAGTTCTGTCCGCTTTTGCTCACCTCTTGTAGGTGAGAACCGATCCAGGATGGGCCGGTTTAGCTAGCCCCCCTTGGGTCGGTTTAACATTACCCCCCTCCCAAAGACTCACCTTGTCCTCAAGGTGAAATGAAGGAAATTGATGCTTCATCCTCTTATACCACTACAGGAAAAATGCCCTAAACCGGCGGTTCTAACCGGCAGTTTTAGGACCGCCGGTAGTACCAGCGGCACCACCGGCGATTTCGCCGTCGACTTTTAACGACGGCTGCACCAGTGATTTTGCAAATATAAGCCGCCGGTAAGGGCGGCGGTCCCTAAACCGACGGTAAACCGCCGGACGTCAACAAGAACCGGCGGTTTACCGGCGGTTTAGACCGCCGTTGATAAGTGACTTTTTACCGGCGGTCAAAACCGCCCCCCCGACTTGATCTTACCCCCTTTAGCTCCAATTCTTCTAAGACCACTCCCAACTCCTCAGTCAGTGTCGCTGGTAACTCTGTGCTAATTACATGCTCCTCGAGAGCTTTCCTATGCTATGACACATGGAATATTGGGTGTATGGTTACAGTTTGAGGCAACTTCAACCGGTACGCAACTGCTCCAATCTTTTAATTATCTCGTAAGACCCGAAATACCTTAGGGCCAATTTCTCATTCCTTCTGTGAGCCACTGTCTTCTGTTTGTAGGGTCGCAATTTTAAGAACACCCTCTCCCCTTCTTTGAAATGTATGTCTCTTCTATGTGCATTTGTCTGCTTCTTCATTATCTGTTGTGCCCTCAATAGGCGCCTCTTCAACTCCTCTAGCACCATATCCCTTTCTTCCAAGTACTGCTCCACTGATGAGATTGGTGTGCTTCCTTACCAAAAATGCACTAAATGTGGGGGTCCCTTCCATACAACACTTTAAAAAGAGTCATCTGAGAAGCTGAGTGGTATGATGTGTTGTATCAATATTCAGCCCATGCTAACTACTTAGCTTACATCCGTGGTGTTTCAGAGACAAAACACCTCAATTAAGTCTCCAAGTATCTATTGACTACCTCCATTTTTCCATTCTTCTAAGAGTGGTAAGCGGTGCTTCTCTTAAGAATTGTACCATGTAACCTGAATAGCTCCCTCCAAAACTGGTTGAGAAATATCTTATCTCGGCCAGAAACTATCGACTCTGCAACCCCATGTAATCTAACCACCTCCCTGATGAATGTTGCAGCCGCTGTAACTGTGGTGTCTGGGTGTCGTAAGGGAATGAAATACACATATTTACTCAGCCTGTCAACCACCACCATAATGACTATAAATCCCTCATATCGTGTTAGGCCATCTATGAAATCCATGAACACTTCTCCCATACCCTATTTGGAAGTGCTAAGGGTTGTAGTAAACTCCCTAGAGCCATAGCCATATACTTGTTTCTCTGACACACCTCACACCTTATCACCTTCTCTATATCCTTATACATACCCTTATAGTACAATTCAACTGCCAGTCTTCTATACCTCGGAATGGCTTCCAATCGCACTCCCATGGAACTCTTGTAGTAGGCGAGGAATATGGATAGAGGTTCGTGGCATCACAAATCTCCCTTGGTACAATAACCTCTTTCCCTCGAGGGAATAGCCTGGGTGACTACTTATATTATTTCGCAAGTCCATCCGAATCTTCTTCAACTCCTCGTCCTGCACACTCTCTTCCTTGATAGCCCCCCAATTCACCATCAGGGGTATTGAAATGGTCATCATCTGGAGCTCTCCCCCACATCTAGATAAGGAATCAACTATTATTCTCCAACCCTGGTTGGTACTGGATCTCAAAATCATATCTCAAAAGTTTAGACAACCACCTCTAATGTTCCTCAGTCACCATTCTCTGCTCCAGCAGATATTTCAAGCTCATTTGATCTGTTATGATGATGAAGTGATGACCCAGCACGTATGGACGCCACTTCTGAATGACTAACATGATGTCTATTAATTCTCTTTCAGATACAGACTTCAACCTAGCTCGAGCTGTCAAAAACGTAACTAAAGTAAGCTATGATCTATGATTCTGCATCAACACTACCCCCAATCTATGTTTGGATGCATTTGTCTCCACCACGAAGGTCTGACTGAAATCTGGTAGAGCCAAAACTGGTACTGTGGTCATAACCTTCTTCAATCTCTCAAAAGTATGGGTAGCTTCTTCTCCATACAAGAAACTATCCTTCTTGAGTTGCTCAGTCAAAGGCTAGGCTATGTTATTGTACCCCTTCACAAACCATCGGTAGTAACCCATCGGCTGCCATCCCTTCATGTGATACCACATGACCCAAGTTCTCCACTCTAGCTTGTGCGAAGCTGCACTTCTTTGGGCTAGCCCTTAATTGATGCTCCTGTAAAACTCCAAAGATCACCCTCAAATGCTCCAGATGCTCCTCTTTTCGATCCTGTTATCCACAAGTATGTCATCAAAGAAAACTAAGACAAACCTCCTGAGGTACAGCTAGAACACTCTGTTCACCAGGGGCTGAAAAGTAGCAGGGGCATTAGTAAGCCCAAACGACATTACCAAGAACTCGTAGTGCTCCACGTGTGTTCTGAAAGCCGTCTTCTAAACATCCCTCTCTTTCATTCGGATCTGATGGCAGTCTGACTTCAAGGTCATCTTGGAAAACATCACTGCTCCATATAGCTCATCAATCACTGGAATAGGGAATTTATTCGGCATCATCTCTTTATTCAAAGCCCTGTCATCCATACAAAACCTCCAGCTCTCATCCTTCTTCTTGACCAGTAAGACTAGACTAGAGAAAGGACTTACACTTGGTCTGATGATCCCTACCTCTACAATCTCTCTGATAAGCTTCTCAATCTCATCCTTCTGAATTTGGGGGTAGCAGTATTGTCATACACTGATGATCCCCCTCCTTCAAATTGATTGCATGCTCATGCTCTCTAGGTGGTGGTAAGACTTAAGGCGGCTGGAAAATCTCACTGAACTGTTGTATGAGTGGTAGTAATGCAAGAGAATTGTCAAATTCATTGCATGGTAGAAGATTTGCAACTTTGGAGAGGGAGTGTTTAATATCTTAGCTTTATATAAATATCGAACATGCACAGATAAACATTATAAGAAACAACAAAATTTTTATGTGAAAAATTCAAAATAGTAGAAAAATCATGATGCCTGACCCAATTGCAGTAGTCCTCTATACAACTAAAAATACAAGTCCGCTCTTCCCCATAATTGAAAAAGGTGAATTATACAATTAAGAATAATTATCAGGTTTCTGTTGTGTGGATTACAAAAGAAGTGATGGATGGTGGAGATAATTATATGATGTTAGTCGATTAATGATAATGCAACAGCGTTTGGGTGTCCATAGTCGGATTGCTGATGTCAATTTGATAGAGTCAAATATTAGTAATCAAACGACGATGGTTGCAGTTGCTAGTGGTGATCATTGGCGATGATTATTGGGTGGTGCAATACAATTTTATATTTCTTAGCTTCTGAACTTCTCTCATGTGGAAAATTGTACTATTTATAGTTTTTTCTAGATGGTATTTTGATAAATTTGGCTATAAAAAAATACTCTATCAAACAATTCATATTAATATCACTAATTATAGATAATTTATTCAACATTTCATAACCTTAAGACCTCAAAATTGAATGATGTTGGACTCATTGGATTCATCTTTGAGCTGCTCGATTTGACTATATACACGCACAATTTGGAGACTGTTTGGTCCTTCAATTAATATCTAGAAGCTTTCAAATATGTTTCATGTGCTTCATTTGATTCATCTGGACTCAAACCGGATCACTTTTGCTATTGTTATGTTCATCTTGTTTATCTTGGCTAAAGTTTGTTAATATCAGAGTTTAAATTATCTTAAATTTAATGATAAAAGGATCAAAATGGTCCATCAACTCTTTGCGAGGGGCCAAAATGGTCCCAAACTCTTTTGAGGGACCAATTACTCCTTTAAGAGGGACATTTTTTATCATAATATCAAATTTTGGATTTAATGGTGTGTATTTTGATCATTTTTTAATTAGATTATTAATTAAATATAATTTTCAAGTAATACTATTTTCTTTAAAAAAATTTATTAAACATTTCTTTAATAAAAAAATTATTAATAATCTAGTGTATAATGATCCTAAATTAAAACTAGAATTATTAATAAATTTATTTTTTAAAGAAATGTTTAATAAATTTTTAAAAAAAAATGTTATTACTTGAAAGTTATATTTAATAAATAATATAATTAAAAATAACTAAAATATCCCTTAATTTAATACAATTAACCTCAAAATTTGATGTTAGGATAAAAAAACCATTTTTTTAATGACTTGTTGGGCCAAATTAATCCCTCATAAAGAGTTGAGAGACAATTTTAATCCTTTTCTCTAAATTTAATTCTAATTTTTTTTAATTCAAATATGCATTGAGATTCGTGCCCAATCAAATTGATTTTTTTCGGAGATGTATCAATGCTAACCATGATTTTTATTTTAACTTTTCTTTTTTCTCTTTATGTGGTATGTTTTCACTAATTTAAGAATTTGAAAGGTTACATATTCAAAGTAAAAGTGCAATGATACTTAGTTCCTTGCTACAGGATAAGTTTTGTAAACCCAAAATGATATCTTCAGCTCAAAGTTGCAAGTTTCGAAATCCAGTTTGTAGCAAAAAGAGTAAAAAGACTGCCAGAAGTTCTGTTGAAAGCCAGAAGCAGCCCGCAAAGGAGAAAGTTGTTGGGAAGAAACTTAAAATCTTACGAACTTCAATGCTGTTGTCCAGGAACCAAGAGGTTGCAAAGAAACCTCCTGTTCGTAGCATTCTCAAGAATCAGAAAAGAGGCACTGCAGACCGGAAGTCAAGTAAAGCAGTCGGTGCCAAGGCAGCCAATTTAATCAAGTTTTATTGCAAGTCAAATAAGCATGTTACCTTCTCTGTTAAGGATGACATGGTAGGAAATAACAGAGCGTGTTCAAGCATGGATTTTCCTCAACTCCAAAACCTCTGCAAAATTTTCTCAGATGTTTTGGCTGCTTCTTCAGCCATGAACCATTCAAGTAAAAGCCATGATCTCCCAGAGGCTAGTGATAAGTCTCAGGAGGCGAATGCATGTGAGAAGGGAACTCATTCAAGTGTTGTATCTAGGATGGAAGCATCTTCTACTGAGAAGAATCAGTCAAGTGATTCTATTGTTAATCTCTGTCAGCCAACAGTAGTCAACTCCAGCAATAGCAGCTGTTCTGGCACAGAGAAGGCTTCTTTCGCCGTAATGCTTGATCTAAACCATGCTGTAGATGCTAATGACATTGATTGTGGTATTCCTGCTACCTCAACTTTATCTGCCAGCTGCATTTACTCAGGTGATCCAAATTCTAGAGTCACTTTTAATGAGAAGAATCTAAATTCTACTTCTGATATTCATTTAGAAGCAGGTTTGCCTAGGTCATCAGAACCCAGCCTTGTTCTTGCCCCAGATGACAAGTTTGTTGCTAGTTCTAATGTAACAAGTTCAATGACACTCCTGAAAAATCCTAGTTCACATAGTTCCACATCTTGTCTAATTTCTTATAATAAAGCAAATGAGAGGCAGTGCCAACCACATGTTGATGCAGATGTGAACTTTTATCGTCAACAAGAAGAGCATCAATCAGTGGGCCATCGCTCTCCAAATGGTATGCTTGGTAACCTATGTTATTCTATGGGATCCAAAAAGTCTGGAGAATATTTATTCAATCCAAATTCAGTGTCTACCTGCAGAAGCAAGTGTCCAGGTGAGGACTTTATTGGTTTGCCTCTAAATTCACAAGGTGAACTTATTCAATTTCATTCTGGAACCAAGTTTAGTGAGGCTTATAACAAGCAAAACATGGAATGGGGTTCTAGTCATAACTTCTCTGCAAACAGGCATGTTGAATCTAATGGCCGTATGAACTATTTGGAAATAATGAGAAAAAAGGTTGCTGGTGCAACTTCTTATCAAAAGAATCAGTCAGATTGGAATCAGAAGCCGTGCTATTCTACCAGGGAAAGAGTGAGACATTGGCTTAATTTTGCTGAATTGGAAGGTTCTGAAAGACTAGAAATCCAAAAAAATGAGCCTATGAAGGGTAAAGACATATTTATCCATTGTAATTCAAACCCGAGAAGCCATTCTTTTGATGAATATACAAATGGCGAGGTCCCACATGATTTCTGTGATAGGGTTGATTATCATAGTCAGCCTGCTGTTCAACCTACAGTGCGTTTGATGGGTAAAAATGTAGTGGTTAGTGGCATAAACAGAGATTGCAATGGTTTTAATAATGGGAGAACATGGAACAATAATGAAAATTTAGCTGATCGAACTCAATGGATGCAAAGAGAAGGTGTTTCGCATCCAACAACAATGGGGACATCAAAAGGAAATCTGCTTGAGTTGTTAGATTCTACACCAAAATTTTATCGCATGAAAGCATTGGAACCTACATTGGATTATATAAACATCACTCAACAACCGCAATGGCCCTCAACAAGTAACGATCCAGCCGTTCTAAACCACACTTTCAAGTTGGATATGAACAAGCGTGCTCTCCCTTCTCAAACCTTTATGAACAAGGCAACCCAATTCTTAGGGAATTGTATTCCAGGAGAAGGATCAATCACTACGGGGCACCATTATCCTGCCATTGTAGCTTCTCATCCACCAAACTTTCACGAGCAAATGCTGCTGAGTTCTTCCCATTGCAAACATAACCAGAAAGTACCAACCACACAATCCCAATTTAAATATCAGGATTATGGGAAATTTTCTCAGCCTCCATTACTACAGCCTGCATCAAAACTGCCTCAGTGGTTGCTTCATGCAGAACATCAGAAAAGAACTCAACTCTCTGATACAGCAATCAGCCAACCCTGCAATGTTTCCGGAACTAATTCAAATTACCATCTTTCTCCATATCAAGTGCCTGTGATTCCTTTTTCGTCTCGCAGCAATACCGATCGCCGCAACGGCCCATTTGTTTCAAATGCTTGCACTCCATCCATCATCTCTCTTGCTACAGCTACCGGGTCCAGTGGCAATGTTAGTAAGAGAAATATTAGCATAAAAAAGAAGGAAAGAGATGGAACATATTCAAAATCCACATCTTTCAAGAATCCATCTGATGCTCAGAAACTTGTAAAGAGGCCTGCTCATTTTGATGATGATGGAATGATAAATTCTGCAAAGAGGCCTTTAAAAGGGCAAGCAGACTCACAGGTTCTTGCAGAACCAAACGAAACAGAGCAGATAAATGATGAAGCAATATCTTTGGACTTGCAGAAAACAGGAAATGAAAAGGGCTTATGCAGGAGTGTAAATAGCTCCAATTCAGGACCTACCAAATTGATTGCAGGAGCAAAGCATATCCTGAAGCCCTGCCATAGAACAGATGAAGAAAACTGTAGACCAATTCACTCAATAATCGTTCCTGCCACTAATGCTCCTGGTAAATTATTTGGCCCTGAGAAGAAGATTTCAAATATCTATAATTTCTAGCATTCTATTTTGTTATTTTGTCACTTAACTTTTTAGTTTATTCCACCAACCGACTGCTGATATCTGTTTAATTCGGCTTGTATTTAAAAAATAGCCACCCCCCCCCCCCTCTCAAGGCAGCCCCCCCCCCCCCCCCTCTCAAGGCGAATTATTACATCCGGTCAGCGAACGTCCGGACACCCAATGCAGACGCGCCACGTCACCCAAATACATTGGGTCCGGTGTTTTTTGGTGACGTGGAGCGTCTGGATTGATGTCCGGACGACGGACGTAATAATTTGCCCTCTTTCAAACGCATTTTCCTTTGATGCTGATGTTGTAATAACTTCTTACACGAAGAAGCTTTAAATGGCCGACTTTGAAATTGATAGTTATATGCTCTATATATTTGATCAGTATGTGGATGATGTAATAAGTTAAATCAGTTTTATTCTTGTTTGAGTGCCAATATTGTTTTCATGTGAATGATTTTTGGAGATTGAGCATTTGAGTTTTACAACATTTTTTTCTTATTTCTCGGGTGCTCCTTGAAAATTATATGTGCTATCAAACAGCATTTTCATAAGATAAATGTGTGAATTAGGCTTCGTTTTGAAGAAACAGTAAGAGAACTGTCCCAAACAAAGCCTTAATCATTCAGCTTTGTGTTGTCAAGTCTAAACTTCCTTCCTCTTTATCTTATTTTTATTTAAATATAGAACCTTCTTTTTATAAATAGAAGATGTAAGAGTTATATTGTTTTTTTAGGTGAACATTTGGATTAATTAAGATAAATTCATACACATCACATATACAAGTTTTGAATACATGACCTCTTAGTTAATAGTCAAAGTTGTCAATCAGCAAATCAAGATGAGTTGCATGAGTTACGCTGTTACTTAATCAAAAATAAAACGTTCAACCAAAAAATTAGTGTTTTGATAGGGCCCACTGAAATACTAAGTCAGCTTTGTGTAATTTTTTTTTAAACGGGGTATTCACTCACTGTCACTCTTTAAAGGGCACTTGACGGCGTGAATAATAATTGGCTGACCTAGAACAGACATTCATCCCAAAAATCTTATGGCCCGTACTTGATTTGACCTCACTTAAGAGGCATTTTTATTACTGAGGTGGAATAGTGAATCAGTGAAAAAAAATTATAGTTTTATGATGTGGGTGGCATTGAGTTTGCAAATCAAAAGAAATTAAAAAAACAAAAAAAAATGTCAAAATGAGTATATTAAATTTATTTTGAAATCAATATAGGATATGAGTAATTACTTTAAATCTACATAATTAATAATATTGTATCATATATATGACCTCATGTATTTCGTGAAGAAGTTTAACAGCATGATAGAGCTAATTAACTCTATAGTATTTGTTGCGTCCTGGAATATTCGCGGCGGTAGAGAAATATAAAATTTATTGTCTTAGTTTTGTACGAAGATTCATTGCATAAGAAAATAAAAGAGAGGGTGTAGCATTAATAAGAGATGCCAAAGTTTTTACGTGGAAACTTCTAAAAAGGGGAAAAACCATAGGGCTTGGCCCAATTTGAATGAATCCACTATTACTTGCAGTCGATTACAAATGAGACCCTTCCTTGGGGAAAGGCCTTGGGTTGATATAGATAATGTACATCATGTTACATGGTGGGAATTGTAAGAATTAATATTGAAATGTTTATTTGGTCGGAAGGACCATAGTCGGTGGGTGACAAAGGTCGGAAAAACCACTGTCTTGCGACGGAGGTTAAAAAGATCGTTGTCTGACAACGAATGTTGGAAGGACTGTAGACGGCAAAGGAGGTCGGAAGGATTGTAGTTGGTGGGTGACGGAGGTTGGAAGGCCCGTAGTCGGCTGCCGACGGAGGTCGGAAAGACCGTAGTCTGGTGACTGTGGTCGGAGGGACCGTAGTCGATGGAGAATGTCGGAAGGACCATACTCGACGGAGGAGGTCGGAAGGATTGTAGTCCGCACGCGACGAACATTGGAAGGACCGTATCTGGTGACAGTGATCGGAAAGACCGTAGTCAACGGAGGAGGTCGGAAGGAATGTAGTCGGCCGAGGAGGTCAGAATGATCGTAGTCAGTAGAGGGGGTCAGAAAGACTGTAGTCGGGGGCGACGAAGGTTGGAAGGATCATAGTCTGGTGGCTGTGGTCGGAGGGACCGTAGTCGGAGAAGGAGGTTGGAAGGACCGTAGTCGACAGAGGAGGTCGGAAGGACCATACTCAGTGGAGGAGGTCAAAAGGACCATACTCGACGGGCGAAGAACGTTGGAAGGACCGTAGTCGGCATGCGACGAACGTTGGAAAGACTGAAGTCTGGTGACGATGACCAGAGGGACCATAGTCGGTGAAGGAGGTTGAAAGGACTGTAGTCAGTGGAGGAGGTTGGAAGGACCGTAGTCGACAGGCTACGAAGGCTGGAAGGATCGTACTCTGGCGACAGTCGAAAGTCCGGTGACGGGCAGAAGTCCGGTGACGGGCAGAAGTCCGATGACTGGAAAAAGTCTAGTCGGGTAGAAATTTGATGATGCGATTGAAGTCCGACGGTGGTTGGCGGCCGGGCGATGGTTCAACAAAGGTCGGGCTAAAGTTCGGCGGAGGTTCGGCAGTGGTCGGCGGCTAGGCGGTGGTCCGATGATGGTCAGGTTGAATTCCGACGACGATCGGCGGCTGGGCGGATGTTCGGCGGCAGTCGACGGCCGGGCTAAAGTCTGGCAGTGGTCAGCAGCCGGGTTGAAGTCCAGCGGTGATCGACAACCAGGTGGAAGTCTGTCGATGATTGGCGGCCGCGTGGTGGTCCGACAAAGGTCGGGCTAAAGTTTGGTGGTGCTCAGCGGCTGGGCGATGGTCTAATGATGGTCGGGCTGAAGTTCGACAGCGGTCAAGCGGAAGTTCGACAGTGATTGACGGCCGAGCGTTGATTCGACGGCAGTCGATGGGGGTTCGACGGCGTTGGTGTTAGAGCTCTTGAAGCCTTATAGCTGTCTCCAATCTCTGGCCTAGAGGTCTCCTTCATGTAGGGAGTGAGAGTCTATTTATATATTTTCATGAGTGGCACACCACGTAAATATAGAGATGATCTGGTGCAGGTTCGTAGTGCTCCATCGGATGGCTCGTATTGATTCCCACGATCATAGAGAGTTTTTCAACTATTTAAGTGACTTAACGATGTCGAAATTCAACAATCTTTGGCTATTTGGATTCGTCTTGTTGAGTCGTTAGATTTTACTATAAGCATGTCATATTTGAATATCATTTTATCATCCAAATAATGTTTTCACCCTTCCAAATATGATCCGGGCCCTCAATTTGGACCCATTTGAGCTTGGCTGGACCGATTTTGGTGTCGTTAGATTTGTCTCTTTGAGATGTTCAGTTTAACTATAAGTTTGTTGAAATTGGAATTCAGATGACCCTGAATTTAATTTTAAAAGTTTCCAACTTGAATATGCATCTAGATTCGTGCTCAATCAAAGTAATTTTCGATGACATATCTGTATTTTTCGATGACTGTCACTAATGACCAGCATCAATAATTATCTCTACCATCATCTGACTTTTATCATTTGACAATTGCTAACATTCAATCTCATTACTAGATTTTAAATGTCCACCTATGAACACTTACATTTTGTATCACTACAACTAGAATAAAAAAAACTATTTTCAATTGTGTAAACCTATCATTTTTAATTATGGAGAAGAGTGGACTATAATTATATAGAATTATTATAATTGGATCAAACCCAATGATTTGTCACCTTTATAAAATTTTCAACAAATTTTATTTGTGCGCGCTAAATCTTTATATTAAGCACATAACACCTCTCAATAATAAAGATTTTCTACGAATAAGAAATTTACTTAAATCATAAAATAAGATATAGAGGGTGTTGATAATAAAGCACAATAAAGGGGATGAGGAATGCCAGGTAGAAATCTATGGCATAAGCTCAAAATCAAAATTTTATTTGTTGTGGATAATGTATTCAGCAAAGAAGAAATATTTTTTTTTTTAAATGAAAATCCCTCAGTAATATAAAAATAACATTTGTAACATTTATAATAAAGCATAATTAAAATAAATAATTTGATACCTATCATTTATTTATTTAAGTTTTATTTGGGCCGACTTTTTCATTATTTTCTAAATTAATTTTTTAGTATAAAAATTTCGTGAAAACAGTGGCAAAAGAAGTCTCAAACGAAGCCTTAGGGCATCTCCAACCGAAAATCTCATTTTTCACTCCAAAATGCAGGGAAATCAAAAAATGCAGTGTTTCGTCTCCAATCCAACGCCATTTTGTCGCTAAAACCGTTCGTTTTCTTTCGCGCCTTTCTTCCCAGCCTGTTCGGTAGAGAGAAAAAAAATGGCGCAGTTCATCCGCGATCAAATGGCGTCAAAAATGACGATCGGTTGGAGCAAAGCAAGAACGGCAAACAAGTGTTTGCCATTCGGTTGGAGATGCCCTTAGAGGGAGATACTTTGCTCTAAAATCATCGCGTGGCCCGGCCTTAATGGAAAACCCAGTGTCCAATTTGATGATGCGGCCCATTAAGTTGGCCAATATCTGTACAGGCTTTCAAAAGCCCACAAAGACTGTATACAGAGGGTGATATTAAAAAAAATATATTATTTAGATCATTACACCATAATGAAGCTCAGTTGGAATTTAATTCGTATTATATTTACTTCAAATATTCATATATTATTTTCTATAGAAATACAGTTTTTATATTCATTTCCACTATTTATATTTTAATTAAAAATATATATCATAAAATAAATAAAATAATATTTTGCAAGTTACTTTTAAATAATTTTAGTCATAAAATGATGATTTCTAATCGACTCGAAATGTTTGATTTAAGTCTAATTGCTTGAATCAAATGTTAATTCATAAATATTTCATAAGACTAAATTTTTTAATGGGACCACACAAATGATACCATACATTAGAATCGATTGCATATTTGAGAATGTTGAATTCAATGTAATAGATATGGAAACATATCAAGATTTTACTATAGATTAGAATAGAGAGCAAAAAAGAGAAAGAAAGGATCACGATACATTGTATTGATTGAACTTTTAGGAGAAAGGGTTAGACGAATCGAGCAAAGAGAGAGAA